CAACAACATAGATTTGAGCAACATAATCTATTTAATCATGACGATATCCTCATTCGATCTCAGTATATAAAGAAAAATAATAAAAAGTCAATAAATTTTATATTCAATCGTTTTCAACTTTAACATAATCCATTATTTCCAAGATGAGAAAATCAAAGGTTACTAATATTTTTTTCAACAATAAAACCGTTTGAGAAATGAACTTTTCTTTTCAAAGATTTTGTATCAATTATTTCATCTCTTAATATACTAAAAAAAAAAGCTGACGACATACTTGTTCTTCAAAATATTTTCCTGTACGTTTTGTTTTTCCTGATGAAGAATAATTGGTGAATCATCATAACCTTCATTTGATGTTAATTCAATTGATGATCCAAAATGAATAGGAGAACAAGCTACATCACGAGTACGAGACCACAGAGGACTAGCACCAGTAGCCGTATTCATCCCATTTTGTTTTACAGACATTGTGTTTATCTAAAATAAAATACTAAGAAAAAAATGATCTACTAAATTTCAAGAAACTTGATCGATGACTGATGGTAATGAAATCAAGTTTTTTAGTAAAAAAAAGAAAGATGATCATACATACATATTGTTATCTTATAAAATCTTTATTTGTTTTTCTTCTAACAGAGCATATAGACCCAGAACAAAGATGTCTAGCAAAGAAATGAATGTGTATGCACGTGGATTGAAAAACAACGTAGGATAAGAGATGAAAAATATCGAAAGGAATAGATCACTAATAATTACGTATAATTTAACAAAAATAACATAAAATCAGGTTTACGAAAAATTTTAGGTTTCCCGACAGACTCAAACAATTTAGTCTTGAAAAAAAAATATTGTTGATTAAAGATAAAATAAAAAATTTAAAAGATGATATTCAGAAGAAATCTTTAGTATTAAATGATATACAAAATAGATAATTTTTTAATAAGAATACTACAACATCATAGCCCAAAACTAATTCTAACTCTATTATATAAGAAAAAAAAAGTATAAGATGTTAACTTTAATGAGATTAATAACTAGATATATGCATCATCTCTTACTGGAAGATCTTGTATATCAACATTTGCACTACATTTGAAATGAGAAGCAAAAAAAAATAATCATTTAAAAAATAGTAAGTAGTTCTATGAAAAAAAACTTTTTTTTTATGTGGTCCAGTTATCTCGTGATAGTTTTGCATGATTGGTGAAGAGAAAAAAATTAGAAAAAAAATGATCGATATTTCTCGAAAGACAATTTAATTCACAAAAAGAAACAATAGTGATGGTAAAAAGGAATTTGAGGTGATTTTGTTTGTTTGTTGTAAGAAAAAAAGAAATAGATCATTGTTGTTTATTAGATGTCAATTATTTTCTTAACTTATTCAAATTGATTTGTTTTTGTTTTTTAAGCAATCAATGATCTTACAGCTAAATGGTAGAAATTACATCATTCAAAAGCACATTAAAAAATAAGTAGAGTTCTAAAAATTGTTGTAAATTACATCTTAATCTAGAAATAAATTTGTCAATAAATATTTTATCGGTAAAAATAATCGAAGTTATTGCTTTTTCAAAAAGAGCTATCGTTCTTTTTTTCTTCGTGTAGCTGGACATGCACATGGCTGTTATGTGTCTGTTTAGAGATTATGTCAAGAAACGTTGGAAATGAAAAAAAAAGATTTTAATGTTATTAATATTGTTGATATTGTAATTTAAGAAATACTAAACTCAATAGAAATTTATAAGAATAATTTTCTGAATAATCAGATGAACCTATATGAGAATTTAAAGCTTTTGTAACTTAATATACAAGTATTTCTCTTGGAATCGAATGGAAATTATTGTGTCTGAGCCATGTTATAAATATTGATTGAATAATCCTGTATTCAACATAACAACAATTTTAAAGTATCTCTTATTGTTCATCTATGAAGTCAAAACTAGTAACATGAACATTTCGAATGAACAAGTCATATTGATACAACAATTTTTCAATTTCATTGATAACCTGTTCAGTTGAAGAACAAATATAATAGAATGAGAATTGTTTTTTTATCTTTTTCACATGATGAAAAAAGAAAAACAACAACAATTATTCATTTATTTAGAAACAAAAATTCTAATATATTTAATAAAACAAAAATATCATGTGTCAATATCAATGAACGGATATGAACTTTAATAGAGTCGATAAGAGCTTAGAAAAAAAGAAAAGTATTGGAAGAGTTTCGGAAAGTGCAATATTTTTTTTTTGACATAAAAAGAAAATATTAAAATTCGAGCAGTTCAATGGTGATTTTGAGTATTGGGATATATTTGTATTCTTTTTGAATACGATTCAATAAAAAAACAATAAGAAGCACAAAATATATGTTCAGACATACTTATTAGGGTTTGAAATATTTGACCATAAAATTATCGTTTAGCTCTTGAACATATTGGGTTCACTTTTTCTAAAGTCGGTTCTTTCACCTATTTCATTTTATGATGATAATTTTTTAACGGTAACATTCATTTTTTTCTGAAATATATGAAGACGTTATTTTCAATAAGAACATTGTTATTTGTTATTTATTTGTTTTGACCGGCTATGTGATATTTGAAAATGTTGATGTACAGGTATAATGAAGCGATAATAAAATAAAGCAAGTTTCCGTTCTCATCGAAAAAGAACATATTGATGAAATTCTTTTCAGAGTTATTTTAATTATCTACAATAGGAACTTCTTATGACTTAGATGAAATTCACAAAAAATTTTGTTACAATGTTCAATCTGTCTTGTTTTTTGTTAATAATTTGATCTTGACTGTCACACTATGTTATGAATTTAAAAAAAAAATTCTTATATGTAATATGGGATCAGCTAAATTTTTGGATGTATGGCAATTTTTTTCTGATGAAAATTAGAATGTTAATTTTTGAGATGATTATATTTTGATGAGTCTTGTTCCTCTGTAAAGGATTGTCTGCCCCTTATCGGCCTGTCGCAACACGTGATGACTAATTATCGTTCGTATTCTCAGCGTATACGAGGAACAGCGATCAAATAAAAAAACGCGCGAGAACTTGATCAAGAGAAAAATGAAATAGAATCTGTTAGCTCTATCATTTGTGTTTAACACGTCTAAAGCTTACACGTCTTATTATTGATTCTTATCAATAAGCAGTTTGATATAATTAATTGATTTGTTGATATTAAATACGAAGTAAGAAAAATATTTTTTTTTCAAGTTGTTTTTTTTCTAATAAGAACAATGGCAAATAAATCATTGAAAATCGAAATTAATGTTTCAATGTACGAATCTATCGATGAATTAAAAGACTCACCAGCGATAGATAACATTATGAGTAAAGTGGTTGATATTTTGAAGAAAAAAGGGCAAAAAGCAAGTAATGGTTCACTTCTTAAGTATTGTAAGAATGCAGTTTCTCTTCTTCGGTCTAAAAAGAAGGAAACTTCACCAAGTCTTTTGATCATTTACTTGCCACTAAACATTCTGGAATATATTCAAGATACCGTTGTACCTAATGCATCTTCTGATGAGGAAGTATCAGAAACTAGTGTTGATAATGATAGTATTGATAATGTCACTGATTGTCAATTACCATCACCTGTTTCTAGTGGTTCTCATATTTTTTTTTCAATTCGTAATAATGTGTTAGAGGCAGAGGCTTCTTTTGAATATCTTCTTGATTATTTTAAGCATTCTCTTTCTATGAATACTAAACCGTTGAATTCTGATAAAATGCTCAATGATATATGTACATATGTTTTTATTGAACTCAAATCTTCTGTGAATATACGTACACTGAAAAAAGAAATAAGTCTACAAATAAGTCATATCGTGCAGTCAGCACGATATTGTGCTGCTGACAAAAGTATCATAAAAACTTTGCGTATGAGTGGAGCTTTTACTCTAGTTTTTAAATGTATCAGTCCTTTAAATAAAGTTCCATCGATAAGAGAATTCTGTCAATTTCGAAACAACATTCCTCTAGGTCCAATTCTTTTATATCGCACGTTTAATGAAACAAATGACATTTTGCAATTTTATCCATTTTCAAATACAATCGAGGTTACTTTTAATGGAGCGTGGATAGAAAGGGCTTTATCTACATTCGATTTAGTTGGAGTCATTGATGTTGATGATATTTGTTATCTTATTAATGAATGTGCTTCCACATATAACCTGAACTTAGACTTCAATAATCTTGTAGAAATATTAAAAACAGAGATATTGTGTTGTCGTACCAAATCTTCTTCTAATTCTAATTTTTTTACTGTTCTCTTGAGATGTATACAACCACATAATGTACAGAAAGATCATAATCGAAATGCTATGAATGATTATCAATCTTTATCTGAAGCTGAAATGGATAGTATTATTGGTCGCACGTATGCTACTCGGGGTGTAAAACGTTCTTATGTAGAGGATTCCATTTCAATCGAACCTGATCGAAATTTGTATAGACAAAATAAAGAAGCAAAAGATAAACGAGATTTGTTACACCTGAAAGATACGTATCATCTTACCGATTCTGCTTTCAATGCTATTTTTCATTTTATTCAAAGCAAAAAGAAACTCTATTCCTTGACACAGATTGAAAGACTTCGAAAACAAACAAATTCAAAATTTCCCATTTTTTTTACGACAACGAGCGCTTATGTTAAATTTGAATATGCTGTACGCACTGCTATTTTTGTTGCCCGACAGTACGAACCGAACCTTGAGCAATTCAAAACACTTAATATTCGATTTAATATGGATGGCACCTTGATAGGAAATAAACACATAGTAGCGATATCCATTAATTGTATCGAAGGTGGTCACTCATGCCAAACGGCAACAAATCTTATTCCTGTAGGCCTTTTCGAAGTACAAAAAGAAAACACAGAATTGCTGCGCAAAAGTTTGCCAATTGAATTCGTCAATGACATTAAATCTGTGAAACGAATTTCTATAGGAACAAAAGATATCGATATTCATATCCGGCTAGGTGGTGATCTGATGAATGCAGTTTATGTATTCGGTCTTGCTGGATTCAGCTCAAATTATCCGTGTATTTTTTGTACACAACATAAAGATGACCTTCATGTAATTGAAGACACAGCGTATGATAAAACTATTTCAGAAGGAAAGGGAAAAAATAAGAAAACAACTACAGTTCATATTGGACCTACATCTTATCATGATACAACTAAGCGAGCACGATCTCTTTTTGAGCAAACTTCATGTTTAGCTAACAAAACGAACGATTTGGGATATAAATGTGAGCCTCTATTTGGTGACCTCTTTGATTATCAGGACTATTGCATCGACACATTGCATATGAAGTTGAGAATTTTCGATGTAATTTTGAAAGACATTCTATCTCACGCTTCACGTACTGGTAAATATGGTGATGAGCACCTAGTCATTATCAAACAAAAAATTAAAATCCTTAATCAGCATTGCGAGGAAACTGTAGGTAAACGTTTTTACTTTCAAATAGACTCGGATAATAACAATAAAACGATTGCTTCTCACGGAAAACTTTCTGGTCATCTTCAAGATCTTTTTTTCATTGATAGCTTTCCATATAATGATATCCTAAACGATGACATTGCCAAGTCAGCTCGATTAGTTGTAAATAAATTCAAAGAAATTCTCCGTGAGCTTAACCACAATTCAATAAAACGAAAAGGTGTTCTTAAACGTTTATCACTAGATTTTGTTAAAGAATTTCGTCAAAGTGGTCTTCGAACGACTGTTACTCCCTATATTCATATAATTGGAAACCATCTATTTGAATTTGAAGCATTCAATGACCTTGGAGATTATAATATGCAAGGTGTCGAAAAAAATAATGATTTACTTTCTCGTCTCTATTTTTCTTCTACAAATCCTGCAAAAAATCCTCTTCTCACTATGCTCCAAAAATTATATAGAATGCTTGAGATGAATTTTCAAGATGAAAAAGAGAGAGATGCAATGGCTAAATTTGCTCGTACAGGTGTATACGATTTTGTGGAAGAAAACCTGAGTGAATCTGAATCTGATACCGAAGATCATACTATTCTTTGTCGAAACAAGAGCGAATATATCGAAAGTGAAGATGAACGTGAAGAGCAATTTGATTCATCTATAATAGCAACCGATGAAGATGATAAAGATGAAACAGAATTAGAAGAATCTGTAATTTGGGAGCCTGAAAAAAGATTTGCCAATACGTTATTACCTCGCTCTCAAAATCGATTTAAAAGTTTCAGAAGGTCCTAAATATTTTTTCAAGCCTACATCTAAATAAATTTGTCTTATCCCTTATTGTGAAGTAAAATTTTTGTTCTTCTTTAATATACATACATGCCTTTTAACTTAGAATAATAATAATAATAGTAATAATCATAATAGTATTAATCATAATAATCGTAGTAATAATAATGTATATATTGAAAGTCCTGTTCTTATTATAATAAATAAATGAAACTTAAGAATCTTACATCTGTTTTTTTTAAATAATTTGTTCTAGATATGAAAAATTGTTTCGTTGATAATTTATGTACCACCAGTATTTCATCTCATTGTGACCAAAGATGTGGTCAACAGATTCATATTCCACCTAATATTCCTATATATGACGGTCACATACATCTTAACCAAACTCTATCAAAAATTCAATCCGATTTTATCTCTCCTCAATTAAATCCACCAATACGTGAATTTCATTTTATAAATAATAATCATAAGCCTGACGAATGGCTAACTCCTAATCCTTCTCCTTTCTCTTCTCATGTTCATATATATCCCACCATTGGTATCCATCCCAAATATTTTAATTCCCAATCCTTATATCAAATCTTGGATAACATGAGAAATCATCTAGCAATATCACATAGTAATATAAATTTAAAAAATAAAATTGTTGCTGTTGGTGAGTGTGGACTAGATGAGACGAGTATGGCAACTATCGAACACCAGACATTTATTCTTGAAAAACAAATAGATCTTGCTGTTCAATTTCATCTTCCGATCATCCTACATTGTCGTGGTACTCATCTCTATAGCCAGCTATTTGATTGTTTGAGAAATCGAGCATCTAATAAAAATTTACTACTTCACTGGCACTGTATAAACAGTAGTTCTGATTTGCATATTGTTGATCTATTTCTAAATCAATTTCCTAATTCATATATTGGCCTCAATGGATCGATTACTTATGAAAAAAATTATAAAAACTCCGTTTTATTCAACAACTGGTTAATAAATCGATCTCCATTTCTTTCCAACAGATTAATCTTAGAGACCGACTATCCCTACCTTCCACCTCGAAATCTTCATAATCTGTATGATCCTCCATGTGCAATACTTGCCACAGCCTTATATCTAGAGAATATGATAAAAGATCCACTTCAAAGTGCCCTGTCTTTTCTCATGTCATCTAATTCCAACATAAAGTCGATGTATGGCTTGTAAATTTCTCCGTCTTGCTTTCCCCCTTATCCTACAGTGCATGAAAAAAAATCTGACTTAGTCTTATGCTTCATGTATATAATATGTACATATTGTTTAATCTGTTTGTAAATATATAGCTAGATGTTTGTTGTCGCTATCAGTTTTATTAGTTTTGCTTTGCTGTTAAACATATTATTTCAGGGCATTTCTTTTCATGTCTTGTGGAAGAGACTTGAAAGAACTTGCTTCTCACTTTTCGTGTCTCCTCTCTCTCTTCGACTTATTCACACAGAATATTAATATGTGACTGAGATCGTTTGAGTCTGAGAAGCATGTCTGGTGAGAAGAAATTCGTCGATAGAATATATATTATTTTATATTTTCATTTAAATGCTGCTTATTATTTGCTCTCCCTACTCATCCTATATCTCATCAATTTTTTTTTCTTTTTATATTTTAGAGATTAAATTCCGTCAGTTAGTCATTCCAAATTCTATGCTGCACTCTTCTATCTCATTCACGAACGTCAAATGTCAACTTCGATTCCATACGAACTAATGCTCTACGAATCGTGCTCGTGCTTCAATATTTTTTTTTCACATTAATCTCCACGTATATGTTTTTCTATGATGCCTATCCTGCTAGTTATCATATCTAACTTTATAAATTGACATTAAATGATATTAACTAACCTGATCATATAATTGGTATTCAACTTGATGCAAAAAATTTTCTACCATCA